AGTGTGCCTGTCTACACAGGAGTCTCAGGGTCCTCCTGCCACCAACCCAGACGAACACACTCAGATGCAGCACATTCAGGTCCAGCCTATGAAGAATTCTTGGTTGGCCTGAGTTGGGTAGAGTCCCCATAAATGCCTGTAATCAGAATGGAACATCATGGTGATTAATGATTCAGAAAATAAGTGGTCTAATTGGTGGTCCCCCAGGCTGAAACCAGCCCTTAGATGTGTTTTGTTTGACTTGCATAGTTTTTTAAAAATATATTATATAATTTTATTTAGTTAGTTAGTTAAATTTGACCAGAGAGGGACAGAGAGAGAGAAAAGTGAGAAAGCAAGCCGCCATGTCTGGGACTCGAGCCACGCTTTGCCACGTGGGAGCCCAGCACCCTTAACCACCACTCCACCTGCTACCCCAGACTTGCATAATTTTTAACTGCCAGAGTGCATGTGCACTTGCCAGAGAGCTAGAGAGCAGGAAAGAAAAACCCTGCAATGGGGCATGGTCACACCATAATCCCTTCTCCTACATATCTCCATCTGCGGAGGTTTGGGGCATGCAGAAGCAGTCGGGGTCAGGATTTGAACTGCAAGGTTGTCCATGTGAGAACCAGCTCCTTAATCACTAAGCCATGGAGCTAGCCTTGACCTGCATAATTTTTTAAAATTCTGAGCATACTTTTTTTTTTTTTTGGAGAGGTTTTTGCTATAGGGCACTAGTGCTTGCCAGGAAGACAGAGAGAGACAGAAAACAAGAAATCACCCCCTAGGGGGGATGGCCACGCCACAATCCCTTCTCCTCCATTCTCCTCCCTGAAGATTGGACACACACGCACACGCACCCGGCATGAGTTTAAGCCGCTGGATCTGGGACTCAAACCACAGTCAACCACATGGGAATCCAGCAACATAGCCATTATGCCAACTGCTGATCCCAATTCTGAACATACTTTTTTATTTTTTTTATTTTTTGGAGAGGTTTTTGCTATAGGGCACTAGTGCTTGCCAGGAAGACAGAGAGAGACAGAAAACAAGAAATCACCCCCTAGGGGGGATGGCCACGCCACAATCCCTTCTCCTCCGTTCTCCTCTCAGGATCTTGGGCACACACGCATACATGCCTGGTATGAGTTTAAGCTACCAGTATGAGTTTAAGCCACCAGGTCCAGGACTTGAACTGTGGTCAGCTACATGGGAGTCCAGCGACATAGCCATTACTCCAATAGCTGGTCCCCTGAATATACTTTTAATATTGAGAATGCTCCATAAAGATTTAAATATCTGACATTGAAAACATAGCTGCAATTGGCTGGAACTATATAAGAGACCATTCCTCAATTTAAAATTTTCTTTTCTTTTTTTCTATAGGGTGCATGCACTTGCCAGAGACAGAAACAGAGAGAGAAGAAGTGAGAAATGACCTTCCAGGGAGGATGGCCTTGCTGCAATCCCTTCTCCATTCTCCTTTCTGGATTTTGGGCACACACGCACATGCACCTGCTGTGAATGTCAAGCCGCTGGACCTGGGACATGAACCATAGTCAGCCATGTGGGAGTTCGGCACCTTAACCAACACACCACCTGCTGACCCCACCTGCGTGTTTTTCAAGCTGCTGGGTCTAGGACTGTAACTGTGCAGTTGGCCATGTGGGATCTAGCCGCTTTAACCACCAACACCACTGACTGGCCCAAACACTCCTCAGTTTTCTCAATTAAACTTTTTTTTTTTTAGAGAGAGACTTTTGCTATAAGGCTTGTGCGCTCACCGGAGAGATAGAAAGAGGTAGAGAGACAGAAAGGGAGAAATCATCCCCCCAGGGGGGTGACCACGCCACAACCCTTCTCCTCCATTCTCCTCTAGGGATCTTGGGCACGCACACACGCCTGGTGTGAGTCTCAAACCACAGTTAACTACATGGGAGTCCAGTGGCGTAACCATGACGCCATCTGCTGGTTCCAAACTTTTTTTTTTTGAGAGGTTTTTTTTTTTTGTTTTTGTTTTTGTTTTTTTTGCTATAGGGCACATGCAAACTACAGAAAGACAGAGAGAGATAGAGACACAGAAAGTGAGAAATCACCCCCCAGGGGGATGGCCATGCCGCAATCCCTCCAAACTTGTGTTTTAAGGGAACATATCTTTAAAAAATAAAATTTAAACGCACAAGAGAGTATATGATGACCAGTGACTCTCACTGCCACCCCATCCTCCAGCCTGCCAGTTCCCCTCCCCAGAAGCAACCCGGGGTGCCAAAGATATTTTATTCACATACGAATATCCCCAAATACATCATTTGTCCCCTCATAAAAGTAGCATGCCCTACAGCCTCCCTGCACTTTACCTCTTCCCCTTAGCACGGTATCAGGGAGCTGCTTCTGTATCTATCCACGGGAGCTTGCTCCAGGCTGCCCAGCTGCCACCGTGGCTGTGGTCTCCACCTGTCCCATTTCACTCCTTCGTTCTTGCCTGGCCCCTCTGGTTTGCAGACCAGCCCAGGAGGACGTGTGCTCTCTGGTGCCTGCAGTTCCCAGGCTTCCCAGCAGAGGGAGACGCCACTCTACTCCCAAGACCACCAAAGGGCCTTCCCAGGGGCAATGGGCCTTGGGGAAGAGATGCTATCTGCTCAGACACAAAGACACCCCTTAACTGGACTGGACCCTCCCACCCGCCCCCATCCTGCCCCAGGCCTCCCTTTCTGGGGGCGATAGAAACAATCTCCTTCTGCACCTCCTGCTTTGAACCCCACCCAGAGTGCTCCCTCAGCTCCTTGTAGGGACTGGCCCCTCCTTAACGAGGGAGCGAGGGAGCGAGGAGGCCTTGTCCTCATCTAGGAGCTGGGATTGAGAAACTGCCCAAGGGAACACACAAAGCAAGCGTGTAACTGGGCAAGGGTTCCTTGCCCCCGTTCCTGCCCCAATGAGAAGCGGGGGGTCCTTCTCCCTGCCCCCAGCAGACTAGTCCCCAGCAGAGCCTTGACCCCAGCACCCTCTCCCTGACCTGTGCGCTACGCTTCCTACAGCACCCTCTCCCCGGCCTGCTCCTGTGGCCCTCCTCCCACCCCACGGTGGTGTCGGGGGTCGTCTGGAGTCCAGCTGGTGGCCAGTGCAGGGCCACCCCTTTCCTGGCCTGCCCCTCCCCGTGACCCCAATCCTCCGCCAGCCACTCAAAGGCGCCTTGTTCTCCCTCCAGCCCCCAGACAAAAGTCCTTCTGTCTAAGAAGGCGGAATTGGGGGGAGGGGGCACCCCCAACTGGAACCATGTGGGGGCCTGCACAGACCCCAGGCGGAAGGAATGCTGAGAGGAGGAGGAGGGCCCGCAGAGGAAGGAGGGAAGGGGAAGGAGCCTTGCACCGTGTGGGGGCCGTATCTGGCAGCGCCCCATCCCAACACCCACTCTGTAGACCCAGCAATCTGGCTCCCAGCACCCCTGGGACGAGCCTGGGCTAGGAAATTCTGGCCTGGTGCTGGGGGAGCCAATTCTCTGTCTGCCCAGGACAGGGTGGGGGTTAAGAACTGGCCTAAGGTCCCAGGCCCCCACCCTGGCTCCAGGGCAGTTACCTCTCTGCCCCGCCCACGCTGCTTCAGCCTCAGGACTGTGATCACACGGCATCTTCTCCTGCCTGGGCCTGGAAGGGGACTTTAAATGCCCGACATTGGACAGCACCAGCAGTGGCTGCCCCGAGCAACACACGGCCTAAGTAAGAGAAGCGAGGTTGTCACAGCAGTGTGTCACCTTCCTCCATCAGTCCGCTAGACAGAAGCTCTGCTCTTAGAGACCCCAGAGCCTTCCCCTTTCAAGGTCCTTTCCTGGGCCCTGGGGACTGGAGAAAGTCTCTCTAACTCCCCTAATTCAGAGCTCCAGCCTGAGTTCCAGCCTGTCCTCTCCTCCCTCCATTTTACCTGAGGCCGCTGTGGTCTTGGTGACCCCACGGGAGTTCCCTGCTACCCGTGGTGGGGGGACGGAGCTGTCTCTTTAAGAGCAAGAATGAGGTTGGGGCGCTCCTGAGCATCGGGGAGTCTGACTTGTTCTCTACCTGCCCAGGTTTGCAGAGGGCGGGGCAGCTGTGGATAAAAGCAGGACTCGGGCTTAGCAGCCTCACTTTCTGCCGGAACCTAGGAACCTTGCCCAGCCTGGTGAGTCACACAGGTGGGCAGCCAGGGCCCTCCCTCAGCCCTCAGCTCCAACTTCAAACCCTCTTCTCCTCTGCCCGCCACTGCCCTGCCAAATAGAATCTCTGCCGTTGAAGACCATGGAGTCTAACTCGTCTTCAGGGTCTGGTTTTCGGGGGGGCAGAAGGTTAGAGAAAATCCCCTCCCCTAGTGGGACCCTCCCCTATCGTTCTCCTCTTGGGACTGGGTGAGCCAGCTGGGGTGAGGGTAAGAGCCAGTTAAGGATTAGGGTGTCTGCCAGGACCAGTGGTGTCTGGGTAGAGGGGAGGTGTCTGAGAGAACCGAGGTAGCTGGGAGGATGGGGTGGGAAGGAGGGTCCCGGGTGGGTGGGGTGTCTACGTGTACCAGGGGCGTGTGGGTGGATAGGGAGTATTTGGGTGGACGGGGTTGACTGAGTAGACTTGGGGTGTCTAGGTACTGGAGGGTGTAGGTATTGGAGGCCTTTAAGCACAGGAGACGTTGCCTCCTGGGGAAGCTAGACGGTGGGGAGTTGTTTAGATTTCAGGGGTGCATGGTGGCGGGGGTCGCTCTGCACACTCCTGGAGACGCGGCCATTCTCCACCGCCATGGAGGACTAGATGGGATGATGGCGGACAGATGGCGGGAACAATCCTCAGGCCGGCCCAGGGGCCTCCGCGGCCAGGGAAGAGCAGAGAGAGAGAGAGAGGTGGGCAGAGGGCACCAGCTAAGGACTGCCTCCCTCCCCATGCCTTCCACCAACTGTGGTCAGTCCAGGAGCAGCCCAGGGCCCCTTCAGACTGCAGCCCGAACGGCGACAGGGAGGGCGCTCCTGAGCATCCGGGAGTCTGACTTGTTCTCTACCTGCCCAGGTTTGCAGAGGGCGGGGCAGCTGTGGATAAAAGCAGGACTCGGGCTTAGCAGCCTCACTTTCTGCCGGAACCTAGGAACCTTGCCCAGCCTGGTGAGTCACACAGGTGGGCAGCCAGGGCCCTCCCTCAGCCCTCAGCTCCAACTTCAAACCCTCTTCTCCTCTGCCCGCCACTGCCCTGCCAAATAGAATCTCTGCCGTTGAAGACCATGGAGTCTAACTCGTCTTCAGGGTCTGGTTTTCGGGGGGGCAGAAGGTTAGAGAAAATCCCCTCCCCTAGTGGGACCCTCCCCTATCGTTCTCCTCTTGGGACTGGGTGAGCCAGCTGGGGTGAGGGTAAGAGCCAGTTAAGGATTAGGGTGTCTGCCAGGACCAGTGGTGTCTGGGTAGAGGGGAGGTGTCTGAGAGAACCGAGGTAGCTGGGAGGATGGGGTGGGAAGGAGGGTCCCGGGTGGGTGGGGTGTCTACGTGTACCAGGGGCGTGTGGGTGGATAGGGAGTATTTGGGTGGACGGGGTTGACTGAGTAGACTTGGGGTGTCTAGGTACTGGAGGGTGTAGGTATTGGAGGCCTTTAAGCACAGGAGACGTTGCCTCCTGGGGAAGCTAGACGGTGGGGAGTTGTTTAGATTTCAGGGGTGCATGGTGGCGGGGGTCGCTCTGCACACTCCTGGAGACGCGGCCATTCTCCACCGCCATGGAGGACTAGATGGGATGATGGCGGACAGATGGCGGGAACAATCCTCAGGCCGGCCCAGGGGCCTCCGCGGCCAGGGAAGAGCAGAGAGAGAGAGAGAGGTGGGCAGAGGGCACCAGCTAAGGACTGCCTCCCTCCCCATGCCTTCCACCAACTGTGGTCAGTCCAGGAGCAGCCCAGGGCCCCTTCAGACTGCAGCCCGAACGGCGACAGGGAGGGCAGACACGCCACTCCCAGCTCCCAGCAGCCTTCAGAAAAGCCCGGCCTGGGGATTGCTACGCAGGTTCCGGGCGCATTTGGTACCATCGGTCAGTCTCGCCTGCACTGAAGTTGTGGGAACGGGGAGTAGCAGAAGCTCATGCATGGGTCAGGGGTTGCGTGGGGGAGCTCAGGGAAACAGGCTTAAGAGGCGGGGCTCAGGAGTCTCGGGGTGACAGGGCCTACCACATTAGGCTGAATTCGCAGGGGTTCAGGGCTGCAACAGCAAAGCGGGTACTGAGCACCAGCCTCCCGCAAAGATGATAGGAGTGGGTAAGTGGAAGGCCCTGAGAACAGTGCCCGCCGTGGGGTTCACACTCGACAAGCATTAGCTGTTATCATTAGTATCATCTTGGGTTAACAGAGCCTCATGGGGTAGCTTTAGGCTACAGGCAGTCCACCTCCAGGCTGCGCCCCTAACCACCACTCCGACCTGCCCACCACCCACTCCAGCTGTCCTCCAAACTTTTGGGGGCTCTAAACACTTTAGTAATGTTTCCCAAAGCTGCAGGCCTTCTTCTTGCAAGAAAGGGATGTCAATCAAATGAATAATAATAATTATTATTAAAAATTTCTAAGACCAGCATCTGGGATTAAGAGGGGAGATGGGAGGAGTCTCAGGATCCAGGGTGGGCACCTGGGGAGGGAGGGGGTCGTGGGAACGTGCTGGACACACCTGCTCCATTGGTGGCCGATGGCACCATCCTCTCTCTGAGCAGGGAAGTGGGGACACAAGGCATGACCTCAGGGGCTGTTGGGGGTGACATGAGCGAAACACAGCAAGGTCATTTGGCATGTCCAGCGCCAGGCGAGCGGGAGGAAGTGTGGGCTCTTGCTATCAAGACCGTGACCACGTGGCGGTTCGGCAGAGGGCAGGGAGAGGCAGGGGGCTTATCACAGGCACACAGGGTGGTGGGAGGGCCGGCGGGTGCCTGGCCAAGAAGGAGTAAGAAGAGTGCTGTTCATGCAGGCAGGCCTCTCTGGGGAAAGAGGAGGCATTCTCTGCCCAGAGGCTGGCAGGACCCGGGGTAGGGCCAGGGGCCAGGGTGGGATAGGAACATGGGCCAGGCTGAGTCAGGGTTAGGGCCGGGTGGGAGGCAGAGGCCAGGCTGGGGTTGGGTAGGGAAGAAACGCAGATGTGGGCTGAGGGGGAGCAGGGACAGACGGAGAGAAGATGGGCCCAGGCTGTAACCAGCCAACTTTGGAGTCTCCTTCCCCCTGTTCCCCACCCATGGTCTCTCCTCCTCCCACCCTACCCTGAGCAGCCTGAGGCACCAGCTCAACCCCTAGCCCAAAGTCTGGGCAGATCCGGGCAGGCTCCCAGCTGTCTGTGGGAGACACTCCCAGGAACCAGGCCTCCTGCCACCTGGCTTCCAACAGTACCTAGTTCCAAAAACACCCTGAGGCCCTGACAGTCCTGAGTTAGGAACAGATGCTGGGGAGCCAGTCTGCTTTAAATCCGGCTTCCTAGCCAGGGGAACCTGGGCACCTCCTTTCATCTCTCAGAGCCTCAGTGTGCCCGTCTGCAAGATGGGAATATAGCAGACAGCATCTCCCTCCCTTGGTTACTCAGGCCTGTCAGAAAAAGCCACTGTGCGCGTCCAGCGAGCTACGATAGCTGCTCCCTCGGTAGGGCAGAGCGGTCACCCAACCCCCACGCCACTTTGCAGTTCCTGTTTATCTCTCAGCCCGGGGAGTCTCCATGCCAACCTTCCTACCCGGTGCCAGCTGTGTACCCTGGGTAGGAAGCAGGTTAGGAGGGGGGTAGGAACTGGGGCACGGGGCCTGGCACCCTGGATGCCCTGCTACAGCTGGACCTAACCCTGGACCTCCCTAGGCCCAGCCTGGACATGCAGGAGGTGGCCGTGAGCCTGCTTGTCCTCCTGGCAGGTGAGTGCCCACCCCCCCTGCTGCCTTTGCCACTGCACCCAGCTGGGTGGTGCCTGAGCGCTCCCTGCTTCTCCTGTCCTTGTCTGCCTCCCCCAGGGAAGTGGTGGCTTTCAGGACAAGACCTCCTTGAGGGTAAGACATGTTGCACTAGTGATTTCAAGGGACACACAAGGACAGAGCTCTTACAGCGGTGGCCCACACAGTTGGACAGTCTCTGTCTTCTCGTTTTCTTGTGACGCTCCTGAAGACCTCGAGGAGAAGGCTTAGTCCAGTGAACCCGTGTCTTTTTTTTTTTTTTTTTGGAGAGTATTTTTTCTTATTGGTTGTGTGCACTCGCTAGAAAGACAGAGAGAGATAGAGAAACAGAAAGCGAGAAATCACCCCCCAGGGGGGATGGCCATGCCGCAATCCCTTCTCCTCCATTCTCCTCTCGGGATCTTGGACATGCACACACACGCACCCGGCATGAGTTTAAGCCACCGGGTCCGGGACTCGAACTGCGGTCGACTATGTGGGAGTCCAGCGACATAGCCATTACGCTAACTGCTGGTCCCGAACCCATGTCTTTAACAACTCCCTAACACCTTTTCACAGACAGTAACTGTGAGACCCTGTTACCGAAACCCTCCGTGCGTCAGTCTGCTCGACTGTGAAAATGAGGAGGGTCAGAGCACCTGCTCATAGCGCCACGGGGAGGCTCCGTGGTTCACCTCGGAAAGGCACTGAGAGCAGTGTCTGGTGCCGAGGAAGCCCCGTGTGCGAGTGCTGGAAACGCGAGGGAAAGGCATTCATCTCCCGGAACAGCGCAGGCCTGGAGCCTAAGGCAGCCGCTGCTTCCAGTCAGAACGCCATCCCCCATCCCCGCCTTGGCTTCCACAGCCTTGTTTTGTTTTGTTTGGGGTTTTTTTGAGAGGTTTTTGCTATAGGGCGCGTGCGCTCGCCAGACAGACAGAGAGAGACATAGAGACAGAAAGCGAGAAATCACCCCCCGGGGGGATGGTCACACCGCAATCCCTTCTCCATTCTCCTCTCGGGATCTTGGACATGCACACACACGCACCCGGCATGAGTTTAAGCCACCGGGTCCGGGACTCGAACCGCGGTTGACTACATGGGAGTCCAGCAACATAGCCATTACGCTAACTGCTGGTCCCCACACTCCTGTTTTGAATGCATACCCTTGGGCAAGACTGCCATTCCATCTGGGAGAGGGCTGGAAAGCTGTGGGGTTTTCTTTTCTTTTTTTTTTTTTTTTTTTGAGAGGTTTTTGCTATAGGGCGCGTGCACTCGCCAGACAGACAGAGAGAGACATAGAGACAGAAAGCGAGAAATCACCCCCCGGGGGGATGGTCACACCGCAATCCCTTCTCCATTCTCCTCTCGGGATCTTGGGCACGCACGCACACACACCCGGCGTGAGTTTTAAGCCACTGGCTCCGGGACGCGAACCGTGGTCGACTACATGGGAGTCCAGCGACATAGCCATTACGCTAACTGCTGATTCCCGAAAGCTGCGGTTTTTCATGTGTAATCGAGAGCACGTGTGCACGCGTGGAGAGAAAGTGAGAAAGAGACAGAGAAGCCCCCTCAGTGAGGTCTCCTTACACCTGGATCCCCTTTCCTGACCCTCCAGCCCCTTAGACCAGTGTTTGCATGCTGCCCGGCGCATGTGGACCCATGGTTGGCCGTGTGGCTTCCGACATGACAGTCCAGCCCCACATGGGCTGTATGGCATGGCTGGGCCTAAAGTTGCAATAAAGTATCCTTTGGTTATAATAGTGACTCCCTGCGGAGGGGAACGGTGAGCAAACGCCAGGACAGGCGGGGTGTGGGTGTGACAGAATTGGGAAGAGGGGCTGTGGAAATGACCGGGCTTGGAGAAATAGAACCCTGGGACGTGACAAGGAAAGTCCCCCGTGCTTACAGGAGGCATACATGAGCCATGTCTGGAAATATGGGACCACGGGGTGGCCCTCACAACCCAGACTGGAACCGCTGCAGGTGGCAGAAGTCAGCGTGCTCCAAGGTGTGGGGTCAAGTGGGCGAGTTCACGTCTCTGAGGAGAGTACGGGACGGAGGCAGCTACTCTGGGACGGGAACCTGTGCCCTCGGGATGTGGGGAACTGTCCCTTAAGGGAGCCTCTACCAAGACACCCCCCACCCCAGGCTCCATTGGCCCTGCCCCGAGGGCTTTGCTGAAGCCAAGGTCACCTTCCCCACTTCTCTCTGCCAGGCCTGCCTGCCCTGGACGCCAACGACCCCGAAGGTGAGTCAGACCTGCCCCTCTGTCCCTCCCACTTCCCCGTTCTCCCCAGCGACCCCCTCATCCCTGCTATGGTCCCGGTTTCACGTTCTTTTTTCTTTCTTTCCAGATAAAAACAGTCCTTTCTACTATGGTGAGAGCTCGTGCCGCCCCCACTTCTCCCTGCAACTTCACATCCTGTTTCATGCCAAGGGTCCCACACAGGGTTGGGTGACAGTCTGATGTGGGTGATGCAGGGGCCAGGGCAGGACGGGGCTAGCAGGGGCACTGGACAGTGAACGTGGTGGACTAATGGAACCAGACACGGCAACCCGGCCTTTGGGAACATTCTCCTCCAGTCAGACGCTCATGGGAGGGGGAGGGCTCACAGGAAGCCCTTGTTTGGTTCAGATCAACTGCTGACAGAAGGGCTGACTTGAGAACACTTCCTGGAGGAGGTGAGCTATGGGCCAAATCCTCATTCGGCCTCCTGGCTCCCAGGTCTGCTCCCCCTTCACCTCCTCCAGGCACACTGGCCTCCCGCTGCTCTCAGAAGGGCAGTCTCACTGCCAGCCTCCGACCTTTGTCCTGGCAGATCCCTCTGTCTGCGGCACCTGCTCTCATCCAATCATATGGCTCCCTCTCTCACCTCCCTCAGGCCGCTACTCAAATGTGGTCTCCCCTGGGACCAGCAGGTGGCATGGTGGTTAAGGTGCTGGATACTCCCACATGGCTGACCACGGTTCAAGTCCTGGACCTGGTAGCTTGCTTTCTCACTTCCCCTCTTTCTCTCTCTCTCTCTCTGTGTGTGTGTGTCTCTCTGTCAAATTAAGAATAAATGAATGAATAAATAAATAATTTTTTTTTAAATGTGGCCTCCCCTGAGAAGCCTTCCCTGACTACCTTCTAAAAGAGCTGCCCTCTGACCTTCTATCCCCTACCCCGCTTCATTTTCTTCAGCTGGCTTATAGCCCCCTGAGCCTGCACAGAAAGCTTGTCGCTTGTGTGTACACCGGAACGTGCGCCCCACAGGGCCGGGACTTTTGTACGTTCCCCAGTTCTCTGCACATCCTAGGTGTTCAATACACCTTTGTCGGGTGGATGAAGGGCTGGAAGGGGGCGACGCGGGCTGGCACTGAGGGCCCCTCTCTGTTCTCCTAGACTGGTACAGCCTCCGGGTCGGCGGGCTCATCTGCGCAGGGGTTCTGTGCGCCATCGGCATCATTGTCCTCATGAGTGAGTGTGGGAGCTGGTGGGACAGGCCGGGCCGGCCTGAGGGTCCCCTCCCCTGACCAGTCTCTTCTCCCCAATAGGCGGGAAATGCAAATGCAAGTTCAGCCAGAAGCCCAGGTAAGGTGTGTTCCAAGCGTGTCCTCCTCCTGCTGGATAGACACCTGTCAGGGCCAAAGCTAAATCTCGTGCAAAGAGCGGTCCAGGCTCTGCCCCTGGCAGTTCCTGCCACCAGGATTTCCCAGGTGGATCATGCTGAGCTGATAATCCCAGGGGCCCCACATCCTGAAATGCTTTGGCCTGTGGGACGGTACAAACCTCCAATAAGAAAGCAGCCAGGAAGCAAGTCTAGGCAAACTAAGACCCCTCTGGTCCCGAGGAGGACAAACGGGGTGAATGTGTCTCCCCACTTTTTCTCCCTAGTCATCGTCCAGGGGATGCTCCACCTCTCATCACTCCAGGTAAGACAGGGACCACACGAGGCCGAGGGGAGCATGAGAAGTGAGGGGTGTGTTCATGCACGCTGGGGGGGAGAGACTGGGTCTGCCCTTACAAGCCGATCCGATCATCTCTCCTAGGCTCTGCCCATAACTGCTGAGGACGGACTTGCCGAAAGAGCAGCGGGGCCTTTCTCTGTCCCCCGGTTCTGGCTCTGCACAGGAGCCTCAACTCCAGGACGGAACGCTTCCTCCTGTCTTCAGACTGCCTTGCCGGGCCTCCTCCCATCTCAGGGGAGGGGGTCTCCTTGTTCAGTTTTTAATCTGAAATGATCTTGCCTCCTGCCCAAACAGCCTCAAGACTCCCTCTGTGTGTGTACTGGGGTGGGCTTTGGGGGTCAGAAGGTGGGCATGCACTGTGCGCTAGCACAGAAGCTGGTGGTGAGATCTCTTTGTTGGGAAGAGCCCAAAGGCCTGTTCCCTCCTGGCTTGGGGGAGGGCATGGGGTCTGCCCTGTGCCTCCACAGCCATGGAAGCCTCATGTGCAGGTTGACAAAGGGAGAGGCAGCTGAGAGCGAACGAGAACCCTAGCCAGATGGAATAGTGGGCGCTCAGGTGGGCTGGGGCCAGTCTGGGGAAACTCAGATGTAGACCACCCTACCATGTCAGGAGTGCTCAGTTTACAACAGGCAGCCCCCGGTGACCCTCGTACTCACCCTGAGACCCTGCTTTATTAGGCAACCTTACCAAGTACTCCGGTGTGTGAGACCTTTAAGTAATTCCCCATGGCACCTGTAATAATATACAACGACCATACGGTGTGAGGACTTCCAACGAATCTCACCCTCCTTTGAGACACCCCAGTACTCAAGAAGGCATCCAAAATATTCCCACAAACCACCCCACAAAACACCTAAAACTCTTCAAAACACCCAAAAATCTCTCCTACCATGCCCTGAGAAATGACACAAAGAGCCACAATAAATCCGTGACCTGTCCCCTATCCATGCTCTTATGTCCCTTGGACATTGCATGAGACCCCCAACATCACGAGCCCACACTCCTTAGAGACTCCAGGATGGCTCTGGGGCAGCGGCCACACTGCAGACTTAGGCCTTCTTTCCCTGCCACTCACAAGTCATCCTCTCCCAGGGAACCCACGGCAATGGGCAGGGCAGTGCACAACGCATTTATTGTACTCAGATACTCTCTGCTCTTGTCCCTGTCGCCAATTGGGAAGGGATATCCAGGACTGGACGCAGCGCCTCTCCTTTCCCACCCTTTTCTCCTGCGCATGCGCAAGAGGGACTACGAGCCGGGCATCCGCCTTGGTGGCAGGCATGCGCAAAAGTAGCAGAGGGAGTTAGCAAATCCCGCAGGGAAAACTGCCCGGCGACTGAGACGTCATCGGGGCAGGCACTCTCTCGTGAAAGCGATTGGCCAGACTGAGTTTCAGTATTTTCATAGGCAGCAGGGGCCTTGGAGTGCGCTGTGGCAGAAGCTTTCAGACCTCATGGAGCTCTGTGCATTCCCCCACTTTGACCTCCGTATTCTTGCTCCGTGTACCCCAACCTGAGCCCGCATGTCCCTTTGGTTGGGGAATCTTTGCCAGCCAAGATGTTGCTACAGACTGGAAGGGTAGCCTGGAAGGTCCATTAAGCTGGGATCTTTCATTTCCCCCAGTGAGTCCAGATCCTCCAACAAGAGGACTAAGGCCTGGATGGGTGTGTGTCTGATGAACTTGGCCTGTGGTCAGCATCTCACAGCAAGAGCCATCACCCCAAATGGGGCCAGGAGGGCAAGCCAAGGGGGAGTCCAGATTCCCCACGCCAGTCCCCAGCCCTGTCCCATCTGTGTCCAGGCTCTGTCCAGTCTCAGGCACTGAGGTCTAACTCGTGATGCTGATAGATCTGTGTGGGGCCCTTGAAGCAAGCAGCAAAGAGGAAGCGCCTGCCTGCCATGCTGATGTGGGCAAAGGCACGGGGGGCCACCAAGGCTGGAGGCCCCAGCTCCTGCAGCGGTTCCAGAAGTCCCTTGTCAGGCTCAAGACGGAAGACCTGGCTGAAGGCGAAGTCGCTGCCCAGGATAGCCAGCTGGTCCTTGGCGATGAGCAGCGGTTGGAAGACGTGGGCACCGCGGGAGGGAAGTTGCTGCAGCAGGCGAAACATGGAACCGTCCCAGCGCATGACCTGCAGGGGGTGGCAGCTAATTAGAGCCTGTGATCTCTGGAGGCCAGGCCTGCCTGCAGTCCTCGAGGCTCTGGAGGACTTGGAACAGCTTGGAAACAGAAGCCTGTAGGTCCCAAACTCCCGCAGCTTTCTTCTCTTCATAACTGTCACCACCCAGCTGCTCGGGCCACACACTCAGAACTGTTCCTGACCCTGCTCTCTCCCTCTCAAGCCACACAGGATCTGGCAGCAACAGAAGCTGTCGGCTTTACCTATGGTAGTGACGCATTTCTCCCCCTCCTCGGGCTGCACTCCACCCTCTCCCATCTGGAACATCCCAGCAGCCTGGTCCAGGGCTCCCATCCCTGCCCCCTACAGAGGGATCCTGGAGCAGGGTTCCCCGTGAGCACCTGAGTCAGGTCAGGGCCCTGATGGCTCAGAACCCTCCCTGCTGCACCTCACTCAAGAAAGAGTGCTGAAGGGGGTGGGCTGGCTTAATACCAGGTCAGCTTGGGGGTTCAGAGCATCAGGTGGGATGGGCGTGGCTTAAATGTCAGTTCTGGAGAATGTATCGGATTATAGAGCCAGAGTCTGGGGGGAGGGGGACAGGATCAGAAGCTTGGGGTCAGTGTTGGGGGGTAGGGAGTGGTTTAGAGTCTGCCAGCCTTGAGGGGTCATGGTGCTGGAGTCAGTTTGGGTAGGATCAGAGTATAAAGGTCAACATTCAAGATTGGGTTTAGAGACTAGTGTGCGAGGTAGGGTCAGCGCTGACCCGCCAGCCCTCAGTGGGAGTCAGCAGCAGCGGCAGGCCCCTTCCCTCCCTCCTGGCCCCCTGACTGGGTCCAGCCTCCGTCCCCTCCCTCCTAGCGCCCTGGGCCCAGCCTCACCATGGAGTCTCCGATGTAGCGGGTCAGGCACAGGAACACCTCCCCGCCAGCCTGGAAGTGGCGTGTGGCATAGACATCCTCGGCCTCGGGGATGTCCGTGCGCCTCTCGAAGCGGCCCCCAAGCCAGTGGAAGAGCACAGGCCGCTGCGAGGCGGAGGCCAACAGCAGGTGGGGCCGGCCATCCAGCTCCAGGACCTCGGCGTCCGTGTCGCGGTGCCAGGCGTGCAGGCTCTGGCGCGGGTAAAAGCCGGGCCCATCTCGGCACAGCAGCGTGGTGCTGCCCGCCTTGGAGGCGTCAGCCACCACGAAGCAGGCCTGCCCGGCCCGCCCTAGGAGC